TGGATGTCAAAAATACATTTCTTAATGGAAATCTTCTCGAAGATCTATACATGATATAACTCGAGGGTTTTATTGAGCTAAAAAATACTAAAAAAGTTTGTCGATTACTGGTGATTTATTTATGGGTTAAAGCAAGCTTCTTGGAGCTAGAATCTTCATTTTGATGATGCAATCAAAGATTTTGGTTTCATAAAAAATGAGGATGAACCTTGAGTTTATAACAAGGTTAGTGGGAGCACAATTGTGTTCTTAGTAGTATCTATAGATGACATATTACTTATTAGAAATGACATACCTAACTTACGAGTCATAGGTAGGGAATTCTTTCCTCATAAAAGACTTAAATGAAGTTACCAATATTGTAGGCATCAAAATCTATAGAGATATATCAAGGAAATTACTTGGCTTAAGTCGGAGTACATACGTTGACAAAGTGCTAAAACCGTTTAGCATGAATGAGTCCAAAAAGGGATTTCAACCTATCTCACATGGCATACATCTTTTCAAGGCTCCATGCCCTTCCACACTGGAAGAATGAGACCGTATGAGTAAGATACCATTTTCTTCGTAATTAGATCAATCATGTATGCCATGACATGTACTCGTCTTGATGTCTCATATGCCGTGAGCATGAGAGCAAGTACCAATCCGATCCCGATGAGAGTCACTAGACTACCGTCAAGAATATTCTAAAGTAGCTCAATCGAACTAAAAATTTATTCTTGGTATATAGAGGTTCTAAAGAGTTTGTTATAAAAGGTTACACCGATGCTAGTCCTTCCAAATCACAATCAATTTATATATATATATATATATATATTTGCCTTAATGGTTATATTGATAGCTGAAAGAGCTTAAAGCAAGACGTAGTAGTCAATTCTAAAACGAAACGAGTATATAGTTGTTTCAAATATAGCTAAGAAGGGAGTTTGGATAAAAAAAAGTCATTATTAAACTTGGTATTATTCCTAGTGCTACATATCCAATTGACCTCTACTATCATAACAATAGAGCTACTACGTAAGCTAAAGAGCCTAGATCTCACCGACGATCTAAACATATACTTCAATGCTTCCATCTCATTCAAAAAATAATCAAGAGAAGAGATATAAAGATATGTAAAGTATCAATAGATTACAATGTTGTAGACCTACTAACAAAACCTCTAACATAAGCATAACGAACATGTTAGATCACTAAGTATTAGATACAAGGGTGATTGGCTCTAGTGCAAGTGGGTGATTATTAGTGTATGCCACTAGAAGCCAATCATAGTTTGATTGTACTAGCATACACTTATATATATATATATATATATATATATATATATATATATATATATAAGGCATTCCATTTATTATGCTTATTTGTTCCTATGTTTTATTGGATAAACATGATACGAGTCCTAAGAATATCAATATCCTTAAATGTCCCCGGTTAGGTGTTTTATGTCACTAGTCAAGTGTTTTATTGTGGATGTATTAAAGAAGCAATAATAAAGCATAAAGACTGGTATGTGTATTCACCGATAACAATATGATATGAGATATCAAGTCGACACATGGGTACATGTTAGAGAACATGTACTAGACTAACTCGCCATGTGATCATTATATGGATCATTATATAAGTGTCATAAACGGGTGTCATTGAGACTATGGTGTACATGGTCCTTCGACTTGAAGTCACTACGATTCCCTATATGAAAAATAGTATATTTTGATATCATCAAACGTCATTTGTAATATGATGGACTATAAAGTTGGTTATTGGATATACCATGAATCATATAGAGGGATGTGAGTGATGTTGATAGTATTTATCCCTCCTATATAACAAGAATGATGTCTAAGACACCTTTGATAGAGTGAGATTATGAAATACATGGCCATGTTCAAATGAATTGATATGAGATATCGATCTTATTTGTTTAGAGGAGTCAACTCATGGATCAAGAAACACTAAGATTAAACTATATGAAGATGACACATTCCATGTCTCATGTTTAATCTAGATACTTAGGACAAAGAGAATAGACTATATGGCAACATATGTCTTGGACAAAGTTATGTCGAATCATCGACATTCTTATTACTTCGATAGTAGTGATGTATTGCTAGAAACCGATCATTATTTATGATTCTAAATTATGATTTTAAAACCACTACCAACGTAATAAGAACATATAGGGTAACACACAAAGAGCGACTCAAAATTAGTGTATGACCGAAAGTCCTAATTGGATTAAGATTCTTAGTTAGGTTAAGATTCCTAATTGGATTAGGATTTCTAGTTAGGTTAAGATTCCTAGTGAGACTAAGATACATTCTGAATTGTAGTATTTAATTATATGAATGGGCTGATTCGATTAAGACATATAAAATAGGCTTAATGAAGTTCAAGTCAAAGGTTGTTGGACATTAATTTTTCAAAATAATCTACTCATATTTTTCTCTCCCCTTATAGTTAGGAAAATAGTTTCCTAATATGACTATGGCTTACGCATGTTCCGGTTGTTTTAAAATACAACCAACACATAATATTTATACAAGAAACTTTAAAGATAGAAACCCTAAGAACTTTGAGAGAAAACCATAGTCGCCTTGAATGGAAGAGTGATCCAGCCTTTACATACCATAACTCGTAGCTAGCACTTCGACTTGAGGTGATTCTCCATTCTAGAATTGTTCTAGTGATTGAGACATTCGTATGGATATTGATGGAGGTGTAGTTCATAGATCCGTACTTATGATTTAGACATCCATCACACAAGAGACGTGATCTACGCTACAAAAGATAATGATCTAATCGGCTGATTTTGTTGCCTATGGCGTTTTGAAGCAAATTTTTTTATGTTACATTATTTTTGTTGCATTAATTTCGATTGTATTGCTTTGAATGCCTATAATTATGACTTCTTTTATCGGGTGAAGAGACACTCTAAATCAACATATAACTCATAGAAGATGTAAGATGCATGGCGAAGGAATAAGAAAGACCTAACTCCCATGCCCAATCCGAGTAAGTGTTTCGAAACCATATGAGTGAGACGAATGGCATCGAGATTAGCCTATTTAGACATACTTAGGGTTCAATTACCTATAGAGAGCACAAAATTTTCATGGTAAATCCTATATATATATATATATATATATATATATATTATTACAACATCAATGTATATTTAAATATATTTTTTTTAGCATAAGGAGTTAGATCGTGCACCCGATGGTCACGAGGTGTTCTCAAAGACTCATAGGAAAAAGGTTGATGATAAGTATGTATTCATCGATCAACGAATAAAAAATCTTGAGGTAAGAAATTAATAAGCTTATTTCATATGTATGCCACTTTTATATAATTTCTTAAGATAACTAGTTAATATTAAAATTTGTGCAATTGTGTAGGACATAGTCCATAAAATATTTGAGGAGGAGGTTGCTAGTTAGGGGATAAAGGGTATTTCATCACCGGACATGGACATGAACTAGATATTTAAGAGGGTTGTTGGATAAGGAGATAGCAAGAGAAAGAGAATGTACGAACTCGGATTACAAGCCTCTAATTATTACTCTAAAGTCAATTCATCATTTGGTTCGATTACATCGCGGGTCCATATCGATGAGCGAGTTTCGAAAAGAGATGGAGGCCAAAAATTTTAGATATGAAAAAGAGATCAAGGACCTTAAGGGTACTATTACATCCCTCTAAGAAAGTCAAAAGCATTGGAGCAACATAATTAGAAGTAGTATGCGATGATGCGGTGAATACTACTCGAATATGCAAAAATGTAATTTACTAACCAAGCCTCCGACTAACCATCATACGTTGGATGAAAATGCTGATTTGTCATAACATGTATCCCTTTTATCATTCTTATATTTTTATTTATGGGAATATTAGCAAGTACACTTTAATATAATTTGTCGTGTGAATATATATTTGATTGGATTGAAATTTATATATTATAAAGGCTTGGTATCATTTATAAATCAATTTTATATCGTTATTATAGTTACTAATATGGATTGGATTTTATATTTCTTATTTAGTGACATGTGAATGATGAAATAATTAACTAAAAATATTTTTTCAAAAATAAAATAAAATAAAATGATTTAGCGACGAGTTTAAAATCGTAGCTAAGTCTCGTCTTTAACTTTGGCCATACTTAACGGTTATTTAGTAAAATCGTCGCTAAACGAGTCAAAAATTTAGTGATTGATTACCGATGAATTTAATAAATTATCGCAAATTAGCGATGGATTTTTGAAAACCGTCGCTAATTAATTAGCAAGGAGGTGTTTAATTACAATATTTAATCGTCGCTAATTATAATTAGCGATAGTTTTTTTATATTAAACCATAGCTTTTTTTTTTAAAAAACAGTTAGTGAACATATGAAGTCATTTTTTATCTTATTATGTGATTAATTAATGTAAAATCAAATCTTCCTCCTATCAAGTATGAGAAGGATCAAGAAATGCTTGGTTGTACACAATCCAAAATCCAATGGACCTTTCAAAATTCCAAGAAGAAGAAGAAGAAAAGTAGTTTCCTTGTAAAGAATTTTTTTTTTTTTCTCGTGATTACATGTGTAATTAAGAAAATGGTTTTACTCGTCTCAAAATCATATATCATAAGATTGTAATGCAGCTTAGACAATTCCACCTTCTATCTCATGACAAGAATACTAAATTAAGCAAAACAAATTCATATAGAAAAAATAATTACGCAGGAAATATTAAAGCAAATAAATAATGCTATACTAATTGTAAAAACTCATAATTGAACATGTTTGTAATGATAAAAGTTCTGAGTGCAAATATAAACATTTCCAACAATATTTATACTATCTTACATAATGGAACATAGCCTTTGGTGGAAAATAAATCCTTAAACACAGCTAATTATTTAAATAGAGTTTCCCTAATCAAAGAAGCATAAACGACAGCAAGCATAATCTAATATATTACATAATAAGAAGCACTTGTCTTCATTTAATAGTGGCGGTCCAAATCGGGAGGAAATGCAGCAAAAGTTCGGTCTGTGACAGAAGAAGGAACATCTCGATCACCAAAGAATTGAGGAAATGGGATGGCAGCCAATTCATTACAGGTTGGGGTGGGCACAGAGAGCTGTGGAGAGGGAGCAGCGGCCATGGATTCTGCTGCTTTACTGGTTGTTGATGAGGTTGATGATGATGAGTTCCTCCTCCTATGCCTCGAGGTTGAACTATACTTTTGTTTATGTTCAGTATTGCCAGAGTTTTGAAGGCGAAGAAAGTACTTCTGGGCATGGCTTGCAACTTGTGATGGGGTCCTAGTCACAACACAGTTCCTGGAAATGCTTCTCCAATCTCCCTTGCCATATCTCTTTAATCCATTCAGGAACAACCTGTTGATCAATTTCTCAAGCTTACAATGTGCCGTTGTGAGGTAGAATAAACTTCAATAGAGAGGTCGCTAGGAGAAAAATAACATTGCCAAAATTTAATGGCACCTTTTCTTCCAATCAGGAAAAAATAATTAGGTGAACCCAATTCAGTATGAGTTCATTGAATAATTCACATGGCATCCATCACGAATGTTTAAGGGATTCATCACTTTGTGAATGCGGACTTATGGTGAATCCACACATATAATAATTAATTTCTTATTAGATCTTGAATTTGAACCCTACATTTATTTCTTGAAGAATCAAAATACAATACAACTCACCACTTAAAAGTTCTAGCCATTTTCCTCTTAAAAATATATATATAATTGCAAGTTCTTGAATTTAAATTCTTATATTCTATCCTTTTCGTATAATTCGAATTACTGAATGCAAAGTTGATGGTGAATTTTGAAATATTAGATGATCCAAATATCCATTTATTTATCAAAAAAATTACGATATTTTAACTATTTAGGTGAAGAAAATCTAGCATAATTACGAAATTAAGTACTCAAATTTATTTTGCTTGTGGAGTATGGAAATGGAGGATAACATTTTCTCTCGCTCATAAAAATATATTATGAATATTCAACTTATATCTATCCAAATTAAACCAAAAGAACAAAAAGGAAAAGGTGAAATCAAAATCCTAAAATTGACTCAACGTATTAATAATAAAATATTAAAATTATTTGACCATATGCAGTTTTCCCCCATAATTGACCCCAAAATACATTCAAAAGGTACAATTGGATAGAGAAAAAGCCTGTAAACAAACAGCCCTGTAATTATCTTTCACTCTGTTAATATTTAATTAGCTAACCACAGAAAATCATATTAATTTCAAGCTAAATTCATGAAGAGGAAAAGATATAAAGAAGCACCGGATATTTTATACATACTCATGTTCTTTTTCCGTCCATGGAACCCCTTTCTTTCTTTGGTTGGGTTTGTCGTTACTGTTAGGTCCTTTTCCTTTATCACCCGAATTAGTCCCATAGTTTGGCAATGGGATACGGCCTGACTCAATCATCTCAATATCTTCAATCAATATTTGAAAATGATCTTCAATCTGCTTCAAAGTTTTCGCCGGAATTCTTTCAGCAATCCTTTCGAAACAATCAGGAGAGCCAGGATCAAGCTCCGCGATTGAGTATTCGAACATTTTGTTCTCCTCAAAACTCCAGTTCACTTTCTCTCTATCAGGAGAAAAAGAGGAATTCATTCTTGTAAGAACGTAAAAATTGAAAGAAAAAATGATATAGGTAAGGATTAATGGTAATTCTCTATCCTCTTAAATGAAATATTTAGCTAGGGTTTCTAGTCCTTCAAAATTTATTTGACTGAATCTGCAAAATATGATATGAACTTACCAAATTGAGGAGTTCAGTTTAGGAAGGTAATAAATTCTTACACATCAAAGTGATGTGGCATGAAATGTGGAAAAGTGAACGAATGAATAATAAGACAATTACAGTCTAGTTGTTCCATTACTATATTTTTCTCTTAATTTTGGAAAGTGGCTCATGCGTCAATTTGGACGTTTCCCGAGGACCAAGAGTTTTTCTTCTATCAATTTACAGCAGTGTGAATTATCATCTCTTCTCTGTCATAAAAATATTTATTGATTGTCTCTTTGGCCAACTTTTTTTTTGTCTTTTATTCATTACTGTTTCACATCTCCTCTTATGGTTTAAAATTTTCCAATATTACTTTAGTTCTAAAAAAATAATAATAATTTCATTCTTTACTACTTGCTACTAGCAACTAACAAAACAAAAGGCTTTTTTTTCCTCCTATTTTTTAGCCAAAATCCTTATGTCTGTTGTAATATCCACTAAACACTTAACAAATTAAAAATTAAAATCTAAACTAAAAGTAGGCTATTTAATGGTTACTAGTAACGTTAACATTGGAACTTTTTAAAAACCAATTAAAAAGCTAGCATTGGGAAATTTTAAATTGTAGGGGTGGAATTAAAATATTGAAAGATCTATACCAACAAAAATAAAGTTTATTCTATAATTTTAAATAATGCTAGAGTTGTTAAGAGTTTTTGACGAATATCATCATCTTCGAGTTTTATTTATTTATTTAGGATGGTCATGAGTAAACTCGATTTAGTTTATGCATCGATGCAAATTAAATTTCCTCATCAATATTAAATTTGTGCCTACTATATTAGTGTCATGCATCCAAAGGAATAAATTCTTTTATATGTTGATTTTAAAGTTGAAATTTAAAAACTAAAGGAAAAAAAATGAACTTTTTTTACCACTAGTCCAACACATTAAAGTCCACCAACTTATTTACTGTAATTAAGTTGGTAATTTGTGATAAATGTATATAATTAAATTATGGTTGAAATAATATTATTTGTTAAAATCTATCCCACCATGCATGAAGATGACTCGTTATTTAATAACAATAAAAAAAAATAACGTGACAAGTTAATTTCTTATAAATGTTCTCTAGTTTCAATATAAATATAGAGTCTATCTTTAATTAAATCGGAAAAAATAGATTTAGTTTTAACGTGTAAAATCTATATAAGAATATAAGGTAATTGTAAAAAAATAAAATAAAATAAAAAAAGCAAGAAAATCTAGTAAGAGGTTCTAATACCTAACACTTAAATCTTACAAGGATCTAATACCCAACACTTAATATTTTTCCTTTTTTGTTTTTTAGGAATAGGTACAGATTCTTAATTAATCAGTCCAACCAAAATAGGACAGTGTTTTGTAATTTATTTATTTATTATTATTATTTTTTTTTTGTATCTGTTTAAAAAAAAAAAAAATTGTAAAAAAAATAAAAGATGGTTGGATGGTGGCTTCCAAGGCAGTCTAACTTTCAAACTCTAATTTGCAATATGTCCAGGAAGATTGAGTTGAGTATTTGAATCTTCCATCAAAATTTTGAAACTAGTTTAGATATTGGGTCTCAACTAAGCATGCATGCATCTGGCCACTTATTTTTTAATTTGGTAAGAGTGTTCAATCCAAACTCAAATTTAGATATAACAGATTACTTATCTTCACAGTGCTTACTCATCTTTTTTTTTCCCATTTCCAATTTTATTAGAATGATTATATATCGTCTTTTTTGTGTATTGAAATGGAAGGAGAAATAAACAATGAAATCAAGAAAATTAATTAGGATGAGGACCAACAATGATTTATGCATTTTATTACTTAGACACTCAGTAAAACCATTACATAAATGGCAATATAATGCGCATAATCCATGAATTAGCCTCCTAATGCTAAAATTAATTAAGTATATAAGAAAACATACCGAGGCAGGCATAAGACCCATACCATTCTCCCTAAATAGATAAATTAAAAACGACCAAACTCGACTCAACTATAAGCCTAATTGAAAACCAGTACTTAGGCTTGACGCCATAAAAGAAAGACATAACAAGACTATATTATTATTCTAGCTAGGTGTCTGCCCATAAAACCATCTTCAACACATTCACCTCATGATCAGTACAGTGAACCCAAAGCGAGATCCAAATCAAGTTGATGATCACCATGAGAAGGAAAAAGGTTCGGACCAAAGGTGCCATAATTAGGCATATCCTGACGGTTGCTTTCGGAGGCGTAACTAGGTGGAGCATTTGAGCTTCCAGTTCCGGACCGAACAGTGAAACCGGATGCAACCACAGGGAAAACGATCAAGGTTGGCCTTGGTGGGGGAAGTGATGTTGGGAACAACTCCAGTGTTCTAGTATGAGTAGTTGTGCCTACGATTTGATCAACCACAATATTGTTGGCTGTTTCAGCCTCGACCACCCCATCGGTTCCCGAGGCAGCATCAGCAACATAAGGCACCACAAGGTAGGAGTTGCTAGCAAAATTAGCTGCAGCAGCATTGGCCATTGCAATCTTAGCTTCGGTTCTTCGTACTTTTCTTGGGGAGGATTTCAGCGTTTGGCCGCTTGTCTTGAAAACTAGTTCTGCATGGTTTTCAACTTGTTCAGGATCTTTAGTCTTGACATATTTCTTGGATATTTTCCTATAGTTTGATATCCCATACTTCAGCAGTCCCATCAGGAATAGCCTGAAAAAATTAATATGTTAATGAGAAAAATATTATTATATCATTTAACTCAACATAAAATAAAATGACAATGAGACAAATTAATTTTGAAATTAAGGAGGCGAGTTTAATGATTTTCTTTGTTGGCCAACCGAGATCCACAATAATTTGGACTGTGGTTTTATTTTTTGAAAAAAAGAAAGAAAAAATAGCTTTCTATGTATTATTTTGTTTTAAAGGTAAAATATGCAAAATGACAAAATGTCACATAGGACTTATCGAAGGATAGGTAGAATAGTAGAGAACACAGACATATAAATAATAAATAATGTAGAAGTCAAAACATTTTTTTTTATAACATCTAATTTAAGATCTAGTTTTTTTTTTCAGGAAAAAAAAAAGAAAGAAAAATCTAGTTTTCCTCAATAAATAAATCTAGCATATATATGCTCAAATGATTTATATCCGGAGAACAACATATCATGCAACCATATAACCTGTCCACAACAAACTATTGGTACAAAAAATAAATAAATAAGTAAAACAAAAAAAAGATTTCAAGCATATACATGTGACGATATTCATCACCTTATAAAAATAATAATAATAATTATTATTATTATTATAAAAAAGCTATGACCAAAACAGAAATCGACAAAATCTAAGATGGCACATCACAGGCATTTCAACAAATAACTCAAATAAAAAGTAGATCAAGAAAAACACACATACACATGCATGTTTTAGATATCCACAGCAACCAACCAAAATACATAGATGTAAAAATTATATGTAGAAAAATAAATGGCCAATCAATTAAATATTAACATTTTGTTTTTTTTTTGGTCCTTATGAATGGAGTAATTAAATTAAGTTGAGGAATTATACTCATGTTCTTCGTCAGTCCAACCATCATCAGGATTCTTCTTGTAGTACTTTTCCACAAACTTTTTGACGCCATTGCTGTTTGACTGATCATCATCATATTCCTTTCCATGACGTTGCATGCTAAGATCTATCACCTTATTTTTACCATTCCCATTAGGCCTTTTCTTAGGCTCAACTGTTTCTTGGAACCAAGGATTATTATGATTTTCCAAAAATGAGGGTGGCTCGTTGATTTTGATATTGGATGGAGAAGCAGAAGAATTGAGATTGATGCCTTTGTCCTTCGGTTGGGGTGTTGAAAGAGGAGATTTGGAAGCACCTGATTGGTTTTTCATTGCTGAATAGAAAAATAGAGACAAAGCGAAGGAATTTGGTGGTGTGGGGTGGCTTAGAGAAAGAAGAAGAATGCAAGAGATTTCTTTATGATTTTGAGTCTGGTGCTCTCACTGTCAAGGTAGTAGGTTCTTATATAGCAAACGAAGCAGTTCAAGACTGCCTTGAACTTGCCAAAATGACCATTTAAGGTGGCCCTGTTGAGAGATTTATTTTATGCTTTTTTTTTTTTTTTTAGAGATTATGAGTAGGTGTGTGAAATTGACCATAATAACCCTGTGTTTTATCATGTGAAGTGTAGTAGTATATATGGTTTCTACTATGATATATATAATAAGCTTAATATAATTTAATGTTTTGGCTAGTTACTTGAGGAACATAGTGGAGAAATTTTGGAATTGCAATGCTTTTTATTATCTTCCAATGAATTTGTTTAAAGGCATAAAAGATGGTTATTTTGTAAAATAGTTTGGACAATTAAGGAAATTAAACGGATCAAATAACGAAAATAACGAACTTTAAATCGAATATTTGCCGCATTATTGTCGGATGGTTTTGGAATGATAACATTAATGATTGTTTGTTTTTCAACGATCAATAAATAGTAATATACTTATTTATGTACTATCGACAAAACGTTTTTATTTGAATCCAATCATCGTTGATATAAATGAATATTTGAATATATAAAATTTTTAAACACGTGTATCGATTTTTAAAAGACTAAAATTTATATCATCTTATACTAATTATCATATTAAAAGAAAGATTCATAAAAAGTGATATTGTGAAAACAAAAAAAAAAAAAATTAAACTAATAATTTTTCAAGATCATGCAACCTAAGTGCAAAATTTCTTTGAATCAAATATTTTTTGTATATTAAAATAAAAAATGCAACCAAATTTCAACTAATAATTTCAGTGGCTCAACTAATTAGGTCTGAACATTAGCAACCAATTTTGGTTATACAATGCTAAAATGCATTTACTATAATGTTGCAATTTAGACAACATGAATATTATGATATAAATCTATTAAGCGACAAAACGATTTCTTTTCTTTCTGAAAAATAGAAAAACAGAAATAAATTAGGAAGGGCAAAAGAGTAAAAGAGATGGACAGTATGTTTGCTAGAAGCTGAAAAAAGAAAAAAAGAAAACAAAAAACTATGCTAGTAAATTAATTGGAGAATCTAGTTGAGGAAAATTGACACATTCCCACTGCCACCTGCCTACAAAATGGAGTTCTAACGTTCCATTTGACACCCATAGAAAGGCCAATGTTTATCTCTTTAAATTTTAAAAACAATGAAAAAATTTTTTATCTCTATTTAGTGTAATTTGCCTGCATAGAAAGTGAGTTAGCTCTAATTAATGTAATTTTCCTTATTAGGCGAGTCCATAACATTGGCCATACACGTGTGGGATATTTTTGCTGTCATTTGGCACAAGGCAGTTACAACTTTGGATTTGGATACCTTTTTTACCATCTTTTGTCACCTCGATTGGATTCTCAATGAATCCTTTGGCCTCAAAAGCATCGTCAAACAAACTGTGCTGTGATTGCTATAGTAGTGTGGGACAAAAACACGTTTAGTAATTGATTATTGTATTATTTTTATAAATATTTACAATAATTAAATAGTATTTGGCTATATATATATATATATATATATTGTGTTTGTTTGGTATTGTTGTATTTTTAAATCACAATTTTTTTTTAATTAGTTTTTGTTTAAAAATATGGCTTACATATGCTCTATTTTGGAAGCAAAATAGTTATCATTCTCGATAAAAATTATTTTGTGTTTGAAACAAAGGTATTACTTAGTTTTAACCAAAAGCGGAATTTACTTATTGTGAGGTCTATTTTTCTTATAATTAAAATAATCATTTTATCCACTAATTATTTTAATAACACCCCAACCCCACAACCCCCCCCCCCCCCCCCCCCCCCACCAGGAAATGGTATGTGTGTTATTACACCATTGTTACACTCAAATTTATTCCGGATCTTGACCCAATAAATTGGATAAAAAAGATAGAAAAAAAAATCCATCAATGACACAATAGTGTCTCATGCTTCACCATGAACGAATGTTTTAAGCCACCATAACCGAAAGTTTTGAGCTTCTATCCTTTAATATAAATTTTTTGTTTATTTAATATCCATAGAGATTAGATTTTTATTATTTGGGCTTTATTTTATGTTTTGGATTTGGATAAATTATTTCTTAAATTTTAGAGAGTGATTGAATGTTAGAGGATTGAGAATCCTTATATTTTGTGGATTTTTACCTTTCAGGAAAAGCTTTTTAATGAGTCCTTATAATGTGTAAAACAATATTTTATTGTGCTACATAAGAATAAGTACTAATTAAAAATGGATTGTATGAGTCCCTCTTATTTTAGGAGAGGAGGCCTAGCCTAGGGGAGGAAATTCTGCTCTAGCCGAATACTATAAGAGTTTAAGAGTAATATTTAAACAACTTATGTGCATCATTGAAAGGGCTTTTGGTCGAAATGTTCGGTAAACCCGATCGATTTGGAAGCAATAAAATTCATATTTATTCTTCCAAATATCCAAGTATTTTTTTTCCATACACTAGATTAGAATTACTTGGACCATATTCATACGAGTGATTGCCTAAGGTGGGTTTTAGATTGTTGCATGCAAGAGCTTGAGGTTGCAATTTCAAGACTTTTGTCATGTTTATCCCATAAGTTCCTCTTACTTTACCTTGATTTGGGAACTTGGACTAGTTCTAGGGTTAGATAGTTGGTGGACTTGCATAATTTTATAATGATGGTAGATTGACTTGTATAAACTAGCTAACATAATTTCTAGAAGCTACGCTTGGAACCTTTATGCGTTAGAGGGGCTAAGTTTATCTATTAGGGCTAAAAAATTATAAGGACCTCCTATTGGACCTTTTGTGGTTGTGCATAAAGTTTGGGATACTTGAAGTTGATTTGAGGGTTGAACGCAATCAATTTCCTTTTTACAATTTTTGACCTAATGTATGTTAGTAGATTGTGGTAAAATTTCATCTTGTTTGGACTAGTTTATCCTAATGAATAATTAAACCATAGTTAGGTAGTTTTGGGTGCCTCATTTGCCAAATCTATTTTGGGTTTGGAATTGGGTAGAGGATTTGATTGTTCATGAATTGTAGCATTATTACTACATTTATTGAGGTAGAATAGTCTATTGACAGTTTTATATTGGGATTGTTGATTGAGTTTCGTAGGGTTTTAAGGCATCTTGTTATTCCAAGCATTAATTTGGTATCGAGCTTTGGCTTGACTTTTGTGTGATTTAGGTTGTTGTAAAGATGTTTATCTTTGAGAATATTTTTTGTATTAATTGTGAGGAGATGATCCCTAATGTTAATTAGTATTTTCCACCTATTTATAATGCTTATCTAGATGATGAGTATGAGGATTGAAGTGTTAATAGTGATTTGATCGAGACAAGGGAAGTGGGTTTTTTTTTTTTTTTAGATTTTTAAAAAGGTTGAAGGCGGTATGGTGCTTAAAATTAGAGGGTTGAGTGTAGACTTTAGAGTCTTTTATATTGATGGTACTAAAAGGAATGAAGTTGTTACTCGTTGAAATAAGTTTGGCCAAAGACTAGAAGATGGTATGTGAGAATTTAATTCGGAGTTTGCTATAAATTTGGTAGGTTTCACCATAATTGTCATTTCCATTATTTAGGAATTTTAGGCGGATGGTAGAAAAGAGTAAAGATATTACTTATAGAGGATATGTTAATGTAGCTCCTACACTAGGAGCCTAGATACATATCCCTACAAATCATCAAACAAAATTAAAGGAGTCCTAATGCTAGAACAACTTTTATTATGACATGACAACTTAAGGATGTTATCATTTGCTTTAATAGGTTTAGAACTTTTAATATACCAACAATGAATACCATTGCTTATGGGTTGAATAAGAAGGTTTTTTTTTTTTTTATGGTGAGGACGCACTCATCTTTGACCTTAGTGGTGAGAGGAGATCTACTCTTAAGTGTGTAAGTGTTGGTTAAGGCAAGCCAACAAATAAAGGTGTTATACCATTTGGGTTTTAGGTAGCACATGGCTAGCATCTAGCATCAAGGTTAGGTTATAGTGATAAGACATTCGGGTGTTGCCAAGTTCTTGATGTTGGCTCAATAGGAACTACTTGTTAAAACTAAGAGAGAAGACATTGGTCTTTTCTAGCATTAGGTTGATTAAGAATCTTATGTGTTATGGATTCTTATATTTTAGTAAAACCTTTTTAATGAATTCTTGTAATGTATAGATCTATATTTAATTAAGCTACATAAAAATAAGTCCTAGCTAATTAAATATGGGCTGCATGAGTCTATCTTATTTTAGAAAAAGAGGTGTGACCTAAGCGTGAAAATTCTACCCTAGACGAATACTACTAAGTCTTAGAAGTAGTATTTAAACAACTTTAATACATTATTGTAAGAGCTTTTGATTGAAATATTTAGTACACCTATCCAACTTTGGTGGATAAAATTAGATTTATTATTTCAAATATTAATGTATTTCTTTGGCTTGAACTAGACTAAGATTACTTGGAGCATATTCTTAGAGTGATTGCCTAAGGTCACTTTTAGATTATTGTGTGTAAGAGCTTGAGATTGCGGTTTCAAGACTTTTGATGTGTTTATCCTATAAGTGCCTCTTACTCTACTTGGTTTGGGAACTTGAACTAGTTCGGAGTTAGATGATTAGGTTTACATAATTTTATAATAACAATAGATTGACTTGCATAAACTAGCCAAAATAATTCATAGAAGTTGCTCTCGAATCCTTTATGTGTTGGAGGGAATATGGTTATCTATTCATTCTAAACTTTGCAAGAATCTTCTACTAGACCTTTTATGGGGGTTTTTTTATATAAAATTTAGGGATATTTGGAGTTGATTTAAGGGTTGAATAGAATCTATTTTCTTGCTTTAATTTTTGACTAACGTAGAGATAGA